CCCGCCTGGGGCGCGATCGAGACCCGCCTGGGACGTGATCGCGGCCTCCCCCCCGGCCCTGCGCCCACTTCTGGCTTCCGCTCAGGTGCGGCATCCATGGAGCGGTTCCTGGCCGGGCTGTGTGGCTCCGACGCCGCGCGGCCGCTCCCGCTGTGGGAGGGGGGCACCACGGGCCACTGCTTCACCCAGCTGGTGCTCGGCGCCCTGCCCCACGCGCTCCTCGCCGTGCTCAGCGCCTGCCGCCTGGGCACCCCGAGGTGGGTAGAGACGGCCGCGCGGCCTCGGTCCGTACCGTTCCTGCAGATCTCACCTGCCTCCGCGCCCCCCCCCCAGTCTCCTGTCACCACCATTGCGCGGTCCCGGGGAGGGGGGGACGGAAGCAGAAGGAAAGAGGGGTGTGGTTACCTTTAAGACCCCGATGGGACATTTTACGTTTCACAGCATTGCTGGGTCAAATGAACAGTACCCGGCATACTCTTAGAGCCCAACGTAGAAGTTATCACTACTGTAGGTTTTTCAGATGCTGACACTCAGCTGTCATGAATTAGTGGCAACTTGAGTGAACAGCGTTTCAGGGGGAGAAAGCAACAAGCTGGGAGTTGGTGGCTCACATCTATAATTCTAGCTACTCAGTAGGAGGCTGGGATCTGAGGATCTCGGTGGGAAGACAGCCCAGGCATTAGATTCTTACCTCTAATTAACTAGCAAAAAGCCAGAAATGGAGCTGTGGCTCAAGTGGTACCAGCCTTGAGGGGCAAAAAAAAAAAAAAAAATCTAAGATAGTGCCCGGACCTTGAGTTTAAGCTTTAGTGTACACACACACATGCTGCTGACAACTCATGTTTAAGCTGTAGAGCCAAAAAGCCTGGGTTTGAAGCACCTGTAACTCATTTGGAGAGGAAACAGAAGGTGGAAGACTAGCAGGATCAAAACCTTAAGACTTGCTGGGTTTATGGCTGTAAGGCATAGGTACTATACTCACCTTGCTTGTGTAGTTCATTCTTAGATGGCTGCAGATGGCCAGGTAGTCTTGCATAGTCTGGCTGCTGAGATGGTAGGAGGGCAATCTGGTCTCTGACTTGCAGGACTGGTGAATTAGGGAGTTCATGACTCTTTCCTTGGATAGAAGAAGCAACAGACTTGCTTGGTCTGGGTGGAATTCTGACTTCTACATGAAATGAGACAAAAAGCTATTTTTTGGCAGTTGACTCAAGTCCTCTCTTTATATGTGTGCCTGTGTGTCTGTATGTGTGAGTGCACACGTGTGTGCATGCACGTACACATATGCTAGTGCTAGGATTTGAATTCAGTGCCTTGCTCTCTTATGGCTGGTATGGTACTCTACTACTTGAGCCACACCTCTGCTTCTGACTTCTTGCTGGTTAATTGAAGATCAGAATTTGTCTGCTTGATTTGCTTGGAACTGTGATTCTCAGTTCTCAGCCTCCTGATTAGCTAGTATTATAGTTGCCAGTTCCTGTCAACATTTTACTTTTTAATCAGTGGAAAGATAGTAGATTATTCTGATGCTTTGCAAAACGTATGCTCTACTATTAGAGTACTGAAGCTTCCACATAAATCACATTTTCGATTATCATAGGTTTCATGTGAATTTATGGGCAATCTCAGGTGGATCCTTTTATAAAAATTACCATTCATGGGGCTGGGAAGGTGGCTTAGTGGTTGAGTGCTTGCCTTGCAAGCATGAGGCCCTGGGTTCGATTCCTCAGCACCATATAAACAGAAAAGGCCAGAAGTGGCACTGTGGCTCAAGTGGTAGAGTGCTCACCTTGAGCTGAAGAGCTCAGGGACAGCACCCAGGCCCAGAGTTCAGGCCCCAGGACTGACCAAAATATATATCATTCATGGGCTGGGAATGTGGCTTAGTGGAAGAGTGTGCTTGCATGTGTGCTAGCATTTATGAAGCTCTGGATTTTATTCCTCAGTATGACATAAACAGAAAAGGCTGGAAGTAGCACTGTGGCTGAAATGGTAGAATGCTAGCCTTGAGCAAAAGAAGTTCAGGGACAGTGCCCAGGTCCAAGTTCAGTCCCCAGGACAGGCAAAACAAAACAAAATTATCATTCATTCCATATTGGTTATCTTCTTTTTTCCTCCTCCTCCTTTTTTTTTCTTTTTCTTTTTTTTTAAAGCAAGGCCTCATTGTAGTTCATGCTCACCTAGAACCCACAGTGTGGCCCAAGCTTGGCTGTATCCCACAGTCCTGCCTCAGTGTATGCTATCATGTCATGCTAGACTTTTTATTTTCTAATAAATTTTCATGGTAGGTACAGCCTAGATTCCAAATTGTTAATGCCACCTGTGGTGAAATCAGAAAGAAATGGGTAGATGAGAAAGTGGATTGGGTAATCTGGGAAGGCCTATTGGGTTTCAGTAAGAAAAAACCTGGAGTTCCAAGGTTAAAAGGGTTGGGATACAATGCACAAGGCAAGAAAGAGAGTTCATTCCCTATAGTTAAACGCATTGTTGGAGGGGTGTGTCTGAGTATTGAGTCAACCAGGATGTGCCTCTTCCCTTTTGTCACCAGGTCTCCAGATTATGTGGTACCCTGCAGTCCTGGCTGGCGCCTCAGACTCACAGCTTCCTTCCTGCTCTCCCTCTTCCCACTGCTGGACCTCCTTCCAGTTGCTCTGCCACCAGGGACAGGCCCGGGGCCCCTATGGCTAGAGGTGCTGGCGGACTGTGTGGCAGCTGTGGCCTGGATCACCCACAGCCTGGCCCTGTGGGTGTTGGCTCATTCCCCTCATGGCCATTTCCGAGGGCCCTTGGCTTTAGCTCTGGCAGCTTTCCTGCCAGCTCCAGCCCTAGTGCTGACCTTGCTGTGGCATTGCCAGCAAGACACGTTTCTACCCCCACTTCTCCCAGGGTCCCTGGCCCGCCTGTGTCTTCTCATTTTGCAGCTGGCAGCAATCTTGGCCTATGGACTGGGCTGGGCAGCCCCTGGGGGGTCACAGGGACCCTGGACTCAGGAACCCTTCCTGTCCTCTGAGGATCAAGAATCTGAGGTGGCTGAAGATGGGGAGAGTTGGCTGTCACGTTTTTCCTATGCTTGGCTGGCTCCCTTGCTGGCCCGCGGGGCCCGAGGGGAGCTCCGGCAGCCTCGGGACACTTGCCGTCTTCCCCGAAGGCTGCATCCTGCCTATCTGGCCCGTGCCTTCCAGGCGCACTGGCAGGAGGAGGCGCGGCTGTGGAGAGCCCTGTATGGGGCCTTTGGACGCTGCTACCTGGCCCTTGGACTGCTGAAGCTGCTGGGGACCATGCTGGCCTTCTCAGGACCTCTGCTGCTCTCCCTGTTGGTGGGCTTCCTGGAGGAAGGGCACGAGCCCCTAAGCCATGGCCTTCTCTATGCCCTGGGCCTCACCAGTGGGGCTGTGCTAAGCGCTGTTTTGCAGAATCAGTATGGGTATGAGGTACGTAAGGTGACACTTCAGGCACGGGGGGCCGTGCTGAATACTTTGTATCGCAAGGCCTTGCATCTGGGGCCCCAACGCCCTCCTGTTGGCGAGGTGTTAAACCGACTTGGCACTGACTCAGAGCGGTTGCTTAACTTCGCCAGCAGCTTCCACGAGGCCTGGGGCCTACCCCTGCAACTGGCTATCACCCTCTACCTGCTACATCAGCAGGTGGGGTTGGCCTTTGTGTCTGGTCTGATCTTAGCACTGCTGCTGGTACCTGTCAACAAAGCAATCGCCACCCGCATCATGGCCAGCAATCAGGAGATGCTACAGCACAAGGATGCACGGGTTAAGGTGAGGGGTTACTGGGGTCCCTCAGCCAGCTGAAGATCCCAGCGGGCGTCCAGGCAGAGGAGATGCCTGAGCAGTGTCTGCACTTCACATTGCTCTCTTATCCCCTGTCTCCAGCTCATGGCAGAGCTGCTGAGTGGCATTCGAGTCATCAAGTTCTTTGGATGGGAGCAGGCGCTGGGGGCCCAAGTTGAGGCCCGCCGGGCTCGAGAACTGGGACGACTCCGCGTGATCAAATACTTGGATGCAGCCTGTGTATACTTGTGGGCTGCCCTGCCAGTAGTCATCTCCATAGTTATCTTCATCACCTATGTCCTCATGGGGCACCAGCTCACTGCCACCAAGGTGAGGACTGGGAAGGAGGGCAGAGCACTTGGACATTGTGGGAGGAGGCAGCAGTGGAGGGGGAGGGGGATAGGGGAAGAGTACTCGGGCCCTCAGTGCTGGGAGGAGGGAGGGCAGGAGGACACCTGGCTGCCTCATTCTCTCTCAGCAATGGGAGATAGATAACTCCAATAGGACCTTTTTTTTGGGGGAGGTGGCTGCTTAGATATATAACACTCTTCTCTGTGAAACAGTTCACTTTCTTCCTCTCCCTTCCACTCCGGCTTCCCCTCAGTCAGGCCCAGACTTGGACTTAGAGGTTACCACCACCCCCTTTCTTTGGGATAGGACTTTGTGATATAGCCCAAGTTAGCCTTGAACTGGTGTTCAGTCTCTTTATCCTCATTCTAAAGGCCTTGCGGGGGCTGGGGATGTGGCTCAGCAGTAGAGTACTTGCCTAGCATGAATGAAGCCCTGGGTTCAATTCCTCAGTACCACATAAAGAGAAAAATCCAGAAGTAGTGCTGTAGTTCATGTTGTAGAGTGCTAGCCTTGAACAAAAGAAGCTCAGAAAGAGTGTCCAGGCCCTGAGTTCAAGCCCCAAAACTGGAAAAAATTAAAGACGTTGGGGGGAAATCCATGAATCTAGTTCAGCATCTAGCTGGGGCCAGGTGATACCACCACTCAGAAATTATGTGGAGCTGCGTGCTGATGTCTTCTGCCTGTAATTATGGCTACTCAGAAGGCTGAGATCTAAAGATCACAGTTTGAAGCCAGCCTGGACAGACAAATTTGCAAGACTCTTATTTCCAGTTAGCTAGCTAAAAGCCAGAACTACAGGTGTGGCTTAAGTGGTAGAGCACCAGTTGTGAACAAAAAAGCCAAGAAAGTACTTGAGGACATGAGTTCAAGTCCCAGTAACCACCCACCCACACACGCACGCATGTACACACACACACACACACAGACACACACTCACATACACATGCACTTGTGCATGTACACAAAGAAGTCTCAAAGTGAGCTAGGCCTGTGTGCTTTCCATGCTGCAATCTGGGAGCTGGGGTATAGTTTTTGGTAGAGAGAGTGCTTAGCACATTTGAATCTCTGGATTCCATCCTTATCACTAAAAGTTAAAAAAAAAAAGAGCCAGGCACCAGTGGCTCACACCTGTAATGCTAGCTACTTAGGAGGCTGAGATCTGAGGACACTGGTTCAAAGCCAGCCCAAGCAGTAAAGCCCATGAGTTCCAATTACCTACCCAAAAAAAAGCCAAAAGTGGAGCTGTGACTCTAGTGGTAGAGTGCTAGCCTTGAGCACAGAAGCTCAGGAACAGCACCAGGCCCAGAGTTCAAGCCCCAAGACTGGCACAAAAAAAAAATAAATATTAAAAAAAATAGTAATCTAGTCAAACATCTGAACTTTCTCGGGTTTCTGGAGCGGCCGCCTTTGCCATTGCTAATGTAGGATTGCCCGAGCAATCCCTAGGGCCTGCTGCTGCCCCAATAGTGCCTCCTCTGTAGGCGGATCCGCAGAACCATCCACAGCATGAGGCCTCAGGTAGCTCCTGGGCTTTGAGTGGTACCTCACGCACCTGTTCACTCTGCTTAGGTTTTCACAGCACTGGCACTGGTGCACATGCTCATTCTTCCCCTCAACAACTTTCCCTGGGTGATTAACAGTCTCTTGGAGGCCAGAGTGTCCTTGGACCGGATCCAGTGTTTCCTTGACCTTCCAAATCACAACCCTCAGACCTACTACAGCTCAGGTAAGAACATAGCCCAGGTTCAGGAGGGCTTGTGGTCACCTGGGCACTGTGTGTAGTTGCTTTCTTAGGACCAGAGACCCAGCTAGTTCTGAGCAGGTGGAGAAGGGCAATTGAATGAGTGACAGCAGATTCATGGTAAATTAGGAGCCCAAGGTAATAGGTTTTTCTCTATTTAGATCCCCCCACAGATCCATCTGTAGTATTGGAGCTACACGAAGCCCTGTTTTCCTGGGACCCCACAGGAACCAGCCAGAAGACTTTCATCAGTCACCTTGAAGTGAAAAAGGTTGGGAGGGTCCCCCAATAACAAGGGAGATGGGGCTCAGTGGCAGGTAAACCAGGACTCTGGCAAGCATGTATGGATGGCTCTGTAGTTCTGGCTGATGGAGGGAGGGGAAGGGTTTGATACATAGGTTCTAGTCTGAGAGGAGATAACACCTCATCTCTGAATCTCCTTCTGTACCTAACTTTGCAATCACCTTGTGAGTCGTGATGTGATGTGCATACACAGAGGAGCAACAGGAACACTCTTGGCAGGAAGGTATCTCCTGTTCTCCCCAGTCCTGGTTTTTACTCTTCTGATTTTTTTTTTTTTTTTTTTTTGTCGGTCGTGGGGCTTGAACTCTGGGCCTGGGCGTTGTCCCTTAGCTCTTCAGCTCAAGGCGAGCGCTCTACCCCTTGAGCTACAGCGCCACTTCCGGTTTTCTGGTGGTTTATTGGAGATAGGAGTCTCACTCTCCTGCCCGGGCTGGCTTTGAACCGCGATCCTCAGATCTCAGCCTCCTGAGTAGCTAGGATTACAGGCGTGAGCCACCAGCGCCCGGCTTCTTCTGATTTTTTTTTTGTTTGTTTGTTTTTGGTCAGCCATGGGGCTTGAACTCAGGGCCTGAGTTCCTGTCCCTGAGCTCTTCAGCTCAAGACTAGCATTCTGCCACTTTGAGCCACAGCACCACTTCCAGTTTTCTGGTGGTTCATTGGAGAAAAGAATCTCATGGATTTTTCTGCCCAAGCTGGCTTTGAACCACGATCCTCAGCTCTCAGCTTCCTGAGTAGCTGGGATGACAGGCGTGAGCCACTGGCGGCTGGCCTCCCGTGACCTTTGTCCTCCCCCCGCAGCTCAACCCAGAGTTCTCCAGAGAGAACTGATTTGCCTCCACCAACCTTTGGCTCACATTTCTGGTTTAAGCTCTATATTGTTTTTCCTCTTAGTTCAGGCAAGACAAGGCTGGAATTTCTCAAAAGAATTTTACTAATGTGTTGGGGCTTATTTTGATATGTCATAGAAACCCACTGGAGCTAGCTTAAGCAAACAAGAATTTGTAATAAGGATACAGAGCTGAATTACCAAATCCAATGGCAAGAACTCAGCCAGATCTTAGAAACAGGCCAGAGCCAGGCCTCAACTTGCAGAGCATTCTGCCTCTGTCTGCTTTTTCTCCTGTGCATTTGCCTCATTCATTCTGGACCCACACACTCCATTGAGAACTTCTGAGAACCCTCCCACTGGCAGGCTGCCACCAACAAGAAGAGAAAAGCTGCCTCTAGGACCTGATCCCATATTACCAGGGAAAGTCACAGATCCATCTGGTACCCGCGCACAGATGGGTCAACCCCAGCAGGCAAGCTAAGGGCAGCACAGACACAGCATTCCTGAATCTCCAGCCCATCTCTAGAATTTGTTTTTTCTTTTTTAAGTTTTAGCAAGGATTTAGTGTAACAGGGTGAAAGGAGGTTGGAGGCATGGCTCAGTTGGTAGGGTGCTAGCCAATGAGCAAAAGTGTCAGATACTAAGTTTGAGTCCCAGTTTTGGAGGCCCCCCCCCAAAAAAAAAGAGTTGGGCTGGGAAGGTGGATCAGTGGTTGAGTGCTTGCCTCAACATGCATGAGGCCCTGGGTTTGATTTCTTAGCACCACATGAACGGAACAAAAAGCTGGAAGTGGCACTGTGGCTCAAGTGGTAGAGCGCTAGCCTTGAGCTGAAGAGCTCAAAGATAAAAAAATAAATAAGAGTTGAAGGAGGGAAGGAAAGTACATCATTAAGGGAAAGGACAGGTACCAGCTCAACGGCTGAAAAGCCCGGCTAAATGAAGAGAGAGAGAACATTTCCTGTTCCCCATCCGGGAAATAGAAGTTTAAGATGGATTTTGTTTTTCATTTAGAGCATGCAAATTGCTTCATGAATTGAGGGAGAACAGGACATTTTAAATTGCAAATCACAGAAATGAGCACCTGTGCAAAGCTTTGCTTTGTAGCTCACAGTGGCAGGTGGTCCACCCCCAAAGCCTGGAACCCTCTTTCCCAGCTCCCCTCTTCTCGCTGCCTGCCTCAGAGCATACCTTGGCAGTTCTTAGGCAGTTTCTTTTACTTTTCTCTTGACAAGCTGCTCACTACCCCAAGCCCTAGGCCCTTGACACAGTGAAAATAATAGCACCATTGAACACCAGACCTGGAGTCACTAAGGCCCCATCACCTAGGAGGTGAACTCCCTGGCAGACTAACTGGTTCCCAGAGTGAGGCCTCAGTCCAGATTCTGGGGGGTGGAAGGGGGGGGGCGATCACTGTCTGCTGTGTCCTTCCCCTGTATACAGTGAGTGCATACTCTGGCTCCTTGCAGGGTATGCTGGTGGGAATCGTGGGGAAGGTAGGCTGTGGGAAGAGCTCGCTGCTGGCTGCCATCACTGGAGAGCTCCACAGGTAATGAACCTTCCATCCCCAGCTCTGCCCTTGAGTAAACCCTGAGACCTACCAAGTGTAGGGCTCCTCTTTCGGGGACCAAGTATAACCAGGAGGAGCAAGCCACAGGCCCTTTCTTGGGAGAATTTTCAGTTTAGAATAAGAGCTAGATCAAGAAAGTTGAGTCAACATCACAAATATCATAGTTCTGGCTGGGAAGGTGGCTCAGTGGTAGAGCGCTTGCCTTGCATGCCTGAGGCCCTAGGTTCGATTCCTCAACACCACATAAGCAAAAAGAAAAAAGCCAGAAGTGGCGCTGTGGCTCAAGTGGTAGAGTGCTAGCCTTGAGCTGAATTGCTGAGGGACAGCGCCCAGGCCCAGAGTTCAGGCCCCACGACCGGACCCAAAAACAACAACAACAAAAAACAAATATCATAGTTCTATAATAGAGTAAGAAGAGGAATGGAGCCAAACACTGGAATGGAGCTCATGCCTGTAATTCTAGCGACTCAGGAGGCTGAGATCTGAGTATTGCAGTTCAAAGACAGCCTGGTCAGGAAAGTCTGTGAAACTCCTATCTGCACTAAGCTGTCCAAAAAGCTGAAATTGGAGCTGTGACTCAAGTGGTAGAGCCCTAGCTTTGAGCACAAAAAGCTCAGGGACAGCACCCAGGTCTTGAATTCAAGCCCTAGGACTTCCCATACACATATGAATGGGAAAAAAATCACCTAGCACCAGCTGTTATCTCAGAAAGTGTGGCTGTGCACGGAAGGGGTGTGGAGAGGAGTGAAAGTTTTGAGGAAGGCAGGCCTAATCTTCAAGTGAGGATGAGCAGTGGAGTGCCACCCCTTTGAGCTCCTGAGCACGTACATAAGAATGTGAACATAGAGCAGATACAGCTTGGCTATAGCCAAAGAGTAGTTCCTGTCCCTGTCCAGATTAAGCCGACAGCTGCATTTGGACCCTCTGACATACGACATGAGAAGTGGGCCCTGGTCTACCCTCCTCCACCAGAGGCTTCCAGGAGGCAAGGGCTGGACATGGAAGGGCCCAGTGAAAAGCCAGTCCCCATGGAGCTGGCCTGACTCTTGCAGGTTGCATGGACAGGTGGCAGTGTGGGGACTGTCCAAGGGCTTTGGCCTGGCCACCCAGGAGCCCTGGATCCAGTTTGCCACCATCCGAGACAACATCCTTTTTGGGAAGACATTTGATGCCCAGCTGTACAAGAAGGTGCTGGAAGCCTGCGCCCTCAGTGATGACCTGAGTGTGAGTATGGAGCCTTGAAGCCTTTCGCTGCTGCTTCCCGAGTTCCCAGCACCTCATACTGGAGACCTGCCTCACTGCACAGGGGTTGTTTCTAGGACTGGCCATCTAGACTGGGCTCCTAGACTGTCCAGCGGCTTGGTTCCCCCTTTACTGTAGGTTCCCTTGGGGGTGACGGTAACTCCATGTTCCACTACAGTTACAAGTGCCCTGGGGCCAGGCAAGGGTTCCCACTGAGGCTCGGTAACGCTCAGGTCTGGTTCCAGTTCCTGCTGGAAAGGTTTGAGACTCAAGGTCTTCTTGGGACATTTGCCAAGTCCATGAGTACCCTTCACGCCCAGTCCAGGTACCAAATTTATTGGAGAGACTCCCAGATTTTTTTTCCCAATCTCCATGTCCCCTTCCAGGACTGTTGTCACCACCTCCCCTCCCAGATAAATGTGGAGCTTCCCTGGGAAGGAGGCCCTTGGCTTTGACCAGGGGGCATCCTGTGTCTGTTTGTCATTTGTTTCCATGTCCTGTGGGCAAGGTGGTTAATCTACCTGAGCTTTGGTCTCCTCTGTAGGAAAGAAATAATACTAACTTCATAAGACCTTTGTGGGTTCACATGAGATAATACCAATCGCGTGCTACACACACACTAAGTATTCATAGTAAATGTTAGGTTTTTGTATTTTTTTTGTCAATCCTGGGTCTTGAACACAGGGCCTGGGCACTGTCCCTGAGACTCTCTGTGTTCAACGCTAGCACTCTACCACTTGAACCACAGTACCATTTCTGGTTTTTTCTGTTTATATGGTACCTAGGAATTGAACCCAGGGCTTCATGCATGCTAGGCAAGCACTCTACCACTGAGTCACATCCCAGCCCCAAATGCTAGATTTTGTTGAGGTATAGCCTATCTCCTTTGACTTGCCCAAATTTAAATCTAGTCTCAAGTTTCCACACGCTCTTGACCTCATCATTTCTTTCCTACAAAGGAGTAGCAAATGGGGTAGGAGTTATTGGGGAGCTTTCTGACCACTGGGGGTGTCTGTTCTATCAGATCCTGCCTGCTGGAGACCAGACAGAGGTGGGGGAGAAGGGTGTGGCTCTCAGCGGGGGACAGCGGGCCCGCATTGCCCTTGCTCGAGCTGTCTACCAAGTAAGTTAAAGGGGGGACGGGGGACAGACTGGTACATGCAGGCATTCCAGAGCCTTGGGAGCTTGACTGAGTAGGGGATGGGGCTCTTTCCTTCCCATCCCTCCTTTGTAGATTCCAGGTAGAATTAAAGGCCTGGGACCCCACAGAGCACTAGGTCGTGGGCTCTGGCTTTAGAAAATTAGAAGCAAATCTATCCTCAGATCTCACATCCTTCCCTATTACTTTAGAGATGTTGTCACCAGTCTTCTTCAACTGCCTTAGAGTCTCAGAAAGCCTCTGAGAAGCTGGGCACCGGTGGCTTAATCCTGTAATCCTAGCTACTCAGGAGGCTAAGATCTGGATCGTGGCTCAAAGCCAGCCCCAGTAGGAAAGTCCATGAGACCCCTCTCCCCGTTTTTTTTTTTTTTTGTTGTTGTTTTTTGTTGGCTGTAGGGCTTGAACTCTGGTCCTGGGCGCTAACCTTGAGCTCTTCAACTCAACACGAGTGCTCTACCACTTGAACCACAGCCCCACTTCCAATTTTCTGTTGGTTAATTGGAGATAGGAGTCTCACCGACTTCTCTGCCTGGGCTGACTTTGAACCATGATCCTCGGATCTTAGCCTCCCAAGTAACTAGGATTACAGGCGTGAGCCCCCAGTGCCTGGCTCATGAAACTCTTGTCTCCAATAAACCACCAGAAAACCGAAAGTGGCTCTTGGCTCTAATGGAAGAGCTGAGGGGCGGTACCCAGGCCCAGAGTTCAAGCCCCACAACCGATAAGGAAAAAACAAAAAAGAAAAGAAAGCCTCTTAGACCAGCCAGAGGACTTAGGCCTGGGTATCTCCCTTTCCCCAGGAGAAGGCACTCTATCTGCTTGATGACCCCCTGGCTGCTGTGGATGCAGATGTGGCCAACCACCTGCTACACAGGTGCATTCTGGGAGTTCTGGGCCACACCACTCGGCTGCTCTGTACCCACCGCATCGAGTATCTGGAGAACGCTGACGTGGTGCTACTGATGGAGGCCGGGCACCTTGTCTGTGCTGGTAATGTGGGCCTGGAGCTTGGTTGGAAGAGGAAGCCATCTTCCTGGGTGTGACAAGAAGGAAAGCTGGGTGGGTGGATTGTCGGGTGCAGAGCCTGCCACGACTTCCACGTGTGCTTGGGCCCAGGCCTCACCTCCTGCCTGCCTGCACAGAACTGGTATGAGGAAATGGAATAGAAGGGAGGAAGAGCACTGGTGAACTCCCAGCAGGCGTGGGGCTCAGGGGTGTTATGACTGAGTGCTCTTACAAACCAAAGCAACCCAGCGTTTCAGAGAACACGCTGATGACTTCAGGAAAGAGAGAGCAGTCAGGTTTAGAGCCGCCTTTTTATAAAGAAAACAAAAACCCCTGCAGGATTAGGGTTAGTTTCCAGAAGGAAGTGACCACCTGCAAATTCTGTGGGGAAGCAGGAAGAAATGGGGCTCAGTCAGATTACCAGGTACAGGTGTGAGTGACGGAGAGCAAAGCTATGTGTCAGTGTGAGTGGCACCTCTAAACAGGTGCTCCTTCCTGACCGCTGATCTCCTCCTTTGTCCATCTGCTGATTCTAGGTGTAGAAGGATGGACTTGATGGGTCCTGCTCAGAGTCTAGGGGAAGCCACAGCAAAGTCCTGCTAGGCTAGGTAAAGGAGGAAGGCCTTCGGAAGAGGAGATGGGATTACACACACATCTACAAAGGCTTGGTATAGACCCACAACAATCCTCTCTGACTTCCCTTCCTCCCTTCCAGGGCCTCCCTCTGAGATTCTGCCATTGGTACAAGCTGCCCCCAAAGCCTGGGCTGAGGATGGACAAGAACCTGACTCAGGTATGGCCCAGAAATGGGAGCAAGGGGCTTTGGGGGGATGGGAGAAGACAGGATCTGACTGCCCTTGAATTCACTATGTGAGCTGATTCTTCTGCTTCAGCCTACTGAACGGTGGTATTATAGGTGTGTGCTGTTACACCTGGCTAAAGTTGTGTTGTGTTATTGTGATTGAACTCAGTCTTGCACAGGCTAGGCAACTGCTCTACCACTGCACTAACATCCCTAGCCCTGGGTCATGCTTTTCGCTACCACACTATAGAAATCAACAAAATTGAAATCAAACCAAAAACTTTCCCATTCCTCTGAAACACAACCATTCTGCAAGCTTACATTCCCCCGTGATCTCCCAACCCTCACAGCCAGTGCCCAGTCAGTACAGAACCTGGAGAAAACAGAGGGGCTGGAGGAGGAGCAGAGCACATCTGGCCGCCTGCTGCTGGACGAGAGCAAGAAGGAAGGCGCTGTGGCCTGGCACGTGTACCGAGCATACTGGAGGGCCGTGGGCCAGGGCTTGGCCCTCGCCATCCTCTTCTCCCTGCTCCTCATGCAAGGTGAGCTTGTCCCTCAGAGTCCCTCACTGCCCTCCACAGCCATGTCACCTGGTGCCCATCACTGCCATCCTACCCTGCACCAGTCATCACGCAACCCAGAGCCTCACCCAGTATGGGCCACAGTTGGGACGAGGGCCCCGTTTGTTCTGAGAGGGTTCCAGGACACAGAGTGCTCCACAGCCATCTTGTAGGCGAGCCCTTTGTGCACATTTGAAATCAACGCTGTCTGCAGAGTGAAGGGCAATAGGTTTCGGAAAGAAGCGCGTGTTAGGGAGGCTATGGGATGGGGTGAATGGGAGGGTGCAGGGGATGCAGAAGGGGGGAGCCAGAGTCAAAGCAGCTTCCTCCTTCTCCATTCCAGCCACACGCAATGCTGCCGACGGGTGGCTCTCCCACTGGATCTCCCAGCTAAAGGCAGCCAGGAATAATAGCTCCCAGGTGGTACCAGCCCCTGCCAGCCCCGGCTCCAGTGGCCCCTTGTCGGCACAGCTGCTTCTCTTCTCACCCGGAAGCCTCTAGTGAGTGAGCAGGGCTGGGAGCAGGCCCAGTGCACTCAGAGTGGCCTTAGGGGAAGGAGGAAGGGTTGGTGGCTGTGTCTTCATGGGTGGATGATAGGGAATAGGGAGTGGTGGTCTAAGGGAGGGAAGGGGGACCCCTGAGTGGTCCTTCTTTTGATTACCCACAGCCTCCTCCCTACCACCCAGCACTCCTGTGTTCCCACTGCCCAAAGCTGCCCCCAATGGCTCCTCAGACATCCGTTTCTACCTCACCGTGTACGCGACCATAGCTGGTGTCAACTCCATCTGCACCCTTCTCCGCGCAGTGCTTTTTGCAGCAGGCACGCTCAAAGCAGCCGCCACCCTGCACCGCCGCCTGCTACATCGAGTGCTTCTGGTGAGGGGCTGGGCAGGGGCCCTCCTCAGTCCCGGGCCTTCCCAGTACCTGGGCCCCAAGTCCTCTGGATTACTTAGCCCCTTCCAGATAGGGCAGCATGTGACAACCTCTGAAACCCAGAGAATCTTGATCCTTTGAATATAGTGATTTAAGTGTGTAGTTTTTCTCATCTATGTAATGGGCAGATCGGAGAACCCTCGGAGTTCTGTCACAGTTGTAGACTGGAGGTACTCTTTTCTGTTTCCTAATCTTTTTTTTTTTTTTCTTGTGCCAGACCTGGGACTTGAACTTAGAGACTGGGCACTGTTCCTGAGCTTTTTGTTTGTTCACTCAAGGGCAGTACCCTACCATTTGAGCCACAGGTCTACTTCTGGCTTTTTTCTTTTTTTGGTCGGTTGTGGGGCTTGAACTCTGGGCCTGGGCGCTGTCCCTCAGCTCTTCAGCTCAAGGCAAGTGCTCTACACTTGAGCCACAGCGCCATTTCTGGCTTTTTTTTGGGGGGGTGGTTATTTGGTGACAAGAGTATCATAGACTTTCCTGTGTGGGCTGGCTTTGCACCATGACCCTCAGCTCTCAGCCACCTGAGCAGCTAGGATGACAGGCACTAGGCATTGTTTCTTATTCTTTATCTCCTTTTATTCTCATATCCTGTTTGGATCTCCCCTCCCTTCTCTGACAAGCAACTATTCTAAGTGCAGCTTAATTTGTATCCTTTGTGTGTCTTTTAACAAAATGCCTGTCTGCTGTGCATGTATTTTTAGTTTGTGTAGATGATATTGCTAGAGCTCACATTCTCTTTCTTACAACTTTTCTGTTTCTAAGATCCCTCCTTGTTGCAGGGTGTCTATCTAAGTCTTTTGCTTTCCTCATATACCTATTATGAGGATTAAATGAATTAGCACATGGAAAGTGCTTAGGAAAACACCTTGCAGCCTCTGAGCACTCGCTCAGCAGTCACTACAGATTCTGTTATTATTACAGAGCCCTTTGTGGATCCGTTGTTACGGTCTCACAGTAACCCTGTGAGCTGGGTGTTTGTGGTTCCATTTGTAGATGAGAAAACCGAGGCACGGCATTGCAAAAACATGGCCAATGGCTAGTTGTGTGGAGAGCTAGTCTGTGAACTATGAACTGCCTGTCAGGGAGCAAATGTCCACTGTTCTGTCTCCCCTCTGAGAGCCAAGGAGGGCACACCAGTCCTCTCCCTCCCCCTCCCCCACTCCCCCTGTATTGCTCAGCCTTAGGAAGTTCTCCAGAAAATTATTTGACCTAGTGCTCTACCTTGTGATAAGCCTATTCCAAAAGTAAAGGCAGAAATATGGGGGACAGGAAAGCGAGGAAGGAGCATGCCTCCCTGGAAGAGTAGTCTGAGCTTGGCGCTGGTGCCTCACGCCTGTAATCCGAGCTACTCAAGAGGCTGAGATCTGAGGATCAAGGTTCAAAGCCAGCCTGGGCAAGAAAGTTAGAAAGATTCTTATCTCTGATTAACAATCAGAAAACTGGAAGTGGAGCTGTGGCTCAAAGCTCAGGGACAGCCCCCAGACTCTGAGTCCAAGCCCCAAGACCAACCAAAAAAAAAGAGGCCGGGCGCTGGTGGCTCATGCCTGTAATCCTAGCTACTCAGGAGGCTGAGCTCTGAGGATCGAGGTTCAAAGCCAGCCCGGGCAGGAGAGACCTTGAGACTCCTATCTCCAATAAACCACCAGAAAACCGGAAGTGGCGCTGTAGCTCAAGTGGTAGAGCGCTGGCCTTGAGCTGAAGAGCTGAGGGACAACGCCCAAGCCCAGAGTTCAAGCCCCACGACCGACCAAAAAAAAAAAAAAAAAAAAAGAATAGTCTGATAGCTCGCATTTACTGCGCACTTAATCAGTGTTAGGTAGACTGTGCTAAAGACTTGGATCCTAACAGCCCTGTGGGATGTGGTTTCATTACTGTCCCCATTTGTCAGATGAGGAACAGAGGCCTTAGATGAATATGTCCTTTGCCGGGGGTCTCACATTTCCTAAGTGACAGAGCTGGAATTTGAGTTGCAGTCTGTCTCCAGAGCCCAAGCTTTGACTGACGGCACGCAATCAAGATGTTGTTCTTGACTTCTCACTGAATCTGGCTGACCGGAAGCGCCCTTCCCCTGGGATACATTAGCTCTCTGCCTTTGCTCAATAGAGTGGCAGGCATGACCAGTCAGTATAGCCTGGCATAGTTGCTGCTGGCGAGGAATTGCAGCGTACCCTACTGGAATATTCTTCCTCCAAGCCCCACCAGCTCCTCTGTTCCCAAACTCCGGGGCTGCTCTGCTCCTTTCCTGTTCTCTTCTGTAGAGATGGTGCTCTCTTGCCCATCCCATCTCCCCAGCCCCAGGGCTGCCTAGCAACCCCTTTGCTCTAGACCCTGCCCTGGCCAACCACCTTCCCCTTTCCAGGCACCGGTGACTTTCTTCGACTCCACGCCCATGGGCCGGGTTCTAAACCGCTTCTCCTCTGACGTGGCCTGTGCAGATGACAGTCTGCCCTTCCTCCTCAACATCCTGCTGGCCAACATGGCAGGTCTGCTGGGGCTCCTGTCTATGCTGGGCTATGGCCTGCCCTGGCTACTGCTACTGCTGCCGCCCCTGAGCGTCATCTACTATCGCGTACAGCGCCACTACAGGGCCTCCTCCCGGGAGCTGCGGAGGCTGAGCAGCCTCACCCTGTCCCCACTCTACACCCACCTGGCCGACACCTTGGCTGGCCTCCCTGTGATCCGGGCTGCAGGGGCCACCTACAGGTGTGTCTGCCTCCTCTGCCCAGAGCCTAGGGAGTGAAATGCTGGAGAGGAGGGAAGAAGAGGGACTCCAGAAAGAGAGGCCCTCTGGGGAGAGATTGTCTAGGCCTCGGAGGAGAATAGGAAGGGAGACCAGGGAATGAGAAAAAAACAGAAGAGGGAGTAAGACAAGGTAGATCCCCTCAGGCGAGGCCTGTGGGCGGGAGGGGGGCAAGCTGTGGGGAAGGAACCTGGGTGGACCCCTGCATCAGCAAAAGTGGCCTTCATTTCCCTTCTGGCCCTCCCCAGGTTTGAGGAGGAGAACCAGCAACTCCTAGAGCTAAACCAGAGGTGCCAGTTTGCTTCCTATGCCACGATGCAGTGGCTGGACATTCGGTTGCAACTCATGGGGGCAGTGGTGGTCAGTGCCATCGCGGGCATTGCCCTGGTGCAGCACCAGCAAGGCCACACCAACCCAGGTGCTACCCCAGGACTCTTCTGTTCTTACCCCAGACCGCTCCTTCCCTGAACTGCCCTTCATATTGTTACCTCCCGTCCAGGGGCCCCGTGGGCATGTCCCATCTCTGTCAGCTTGGAGGAGTGGCTTGTGCAGGGGGTGCTCTGGGAATAGAACACATCTGATCTTCCTCTCTTCCATAGCCCTGCCCCTGGCTCCTACACTCTGTCCCCAGCCGGAGGCTTCCTCCTGTCCCACCCCAACCCCAACCCCCTGTCATCTTCCAGCTTATTCTAGATACCACCCACAGTCCACAGCTGGGATTCTGCTGTTCTCCTCTCCACTCCCCCTCCCCTATGCACCCCCTAGCTTCTGGTCCTCCTCTCCCTAGGACTGGTGGGCCTGTCCTTGTCATACGCCCTGTCCCTGACCGGCCTGCTCTCAGGCCTGGTGAGCAGCTTCACGCAGACGGAAACCATGCTGGTGAGCGTGGAGCGGCTGGAGGAGTACTCCTGTGACCTGCCCCAGGAGCCCCAAGGGCAGCTGCTACAGGTAGGCCTACACCCCCACCCTAGGCCTAGAGCTCCCGGGCCCCTGAAGGACCCTCCTGAAAGCTTCGGTCTCCTCAGCTTCTTTCCTTTTGCCCCTCATGACCTTTCTCTTAGCCGCTCCATTTGTTGGCCACCATTGCTTACCGTGTCCTCAACCTGTGTCCATCCTCCCACCTCTCCCCATCCCCCACCTTTCCTGTCACACCCTCCATTTCCCATGAGTCCTCCCCCCCCCCCGCTCTTCTCACCATCACACCTCACCCCACCTGTACCCCTCCATCTCCTACCCATGGACTCCACAGCAGGACGTTGGCTGGCTAACCCAAGGGAGTGTGGAATTCCAGGACGTGGTATTGGTGTACCGACCAGGGCTGCCCAATGCCCTGGACGGGGTGAGCTTCCGTGTGCAGCCTGGAGAGAAGCTGGGCATTGTGGGCCGCACAGGCTCCGGCAAGTCTTCCCTGTTTTCGGTGCTCTTCAGGCTGTTGGAGCCCAGTGTGGGAAGAGTGCTACTGGACGGTGTGGACACCAGCCAGCTCCAGCTGGCAGAGCTCAGGTCTGGAAGTGGAAGGCCTCGAAAGGGAAGAGGGCAGGGGGATTTACTAGTACTTAGAGTGTTTAGAGGAGTACTTACTTAGTACTTAGAGGACGCACAGCCAGGCTCGTCAGGACCAGTCAGGGGAGGTGGGACTGCTAGGGGAGGGAGGACAGCAAACTTCTATGCTGTTGCTCAGATTCATAGCTGGCCTCACCCTGACTCCTGCACCTCACAGCCTCATCATTCTTCCTACTTCCCTCCCTCTTATTTTTTTTTTGGGGGGGGGACAGTCTTGGGGCTTGAACCCTAGGCCTGGGCGCTGCTCCTCAGCTCTTCAGCTCAAGGCGATCACTTTATCACTTGAGCCACAATGCCACTTCCCCTTTTCTGGTGCTTTATTGGGAATAAGAGTTTACGGACTTTCCTACCCGGGCTGGCTTTGAACTGAGATCCTCAGATCTCAGCTTCCTGAGTAGTTAGGATGACAGGCGTGAGCCACCCGCTCCCAGCCTCTCCCTTTTTCTTACTTTTGCAGTACTGAGCATTGAACCTGGGCCTTCTACCACTTGAGACACAACCCCAGACCCAGCTTCATTTTTTTTTTCATGTGCCAGTACTGAAGCTTGAACTCAAGGCCTGGGCACTGTCCCTTAGCTTTGATGCTCAAGAGTGGCGCTCTACCACTTGAGCCACAGATCCACTTTTTTTGGTGGTTAGTTGGAGAGAAGAGGTTTTTTGTTTTGTTTTGTTTTTTGGGTCCAGTCGTGGGGCCTGAACTCTGGGCCTGGGCGCTGTCCCTAAGCTTTTCAGTCAAGGATAGCGCTCTACCACTTCAGCCACAGCGCCACCTCCGACTTTTTTCTCTTCGCTTATCTGGTGCTGAGGAATCGAACCCAGGGCCTCAGGCATGCAAGGCAAGTGCTCTACCACTGAGCCACCTTCCCAGCCCAAGAGAAGAGTTTTATATCCTTTCCTGCCTGGCCTGGGTTCAAACGATGAGCCTCAGATCTCAGCCTCCTAAATAGCTAGGATTACAAGCATCAGTTACTGGCCCCTGACTGTTTTCTGTTTTTGTACCTCAAGATTTAGACTCCTTAAAGCTAGAGTTTTTGGTGTTACTCATTGGAGGTGTAGAAGGAAGAATGGGTCAGCTTTCTTCTTTAGCTGTCCCCAATACCCACCCTGCTGCTCCTATGGAGCGCATGGTACTGGCACAATTGTAGGTACATGCAGACAAACTGGTGATTTGGTGAAGATGGGTAGGAAACAGAAAGGGCCGTATTGAAGTCTCATCCCCAGACTCTCCTGCAAATCTTCACCTTGCAGCTAAAACCTGCGTGGCGAGCAGGATGACATCTCCAGCTTGGCCTCCATGTCCTTGTCTCCTAGATCCCAGCTAGCCATCATCCCCCAGGAGCCTTTTTTGTTCAGTGGGACTGTTCGGGAAAACCTGGACCCCCGGGGCCTACACGAGGATGCGGCCTTGTGGCAGGCCCTGGAGCAGTGCCACCTGAGCGAGGTGATCGCCTGCATGGGTGAGTGGCAGGACCTGACCTGGAGAACGGGAAGGGAGCAGGAGCGGCCGCCCGGGGCGAACATGTTCTGCCTTGCAGGTGGCCTGGATGGGGAGCTGGGCGAAGGGGGCCGGAGCTTGTCCCTGGGACAGAGGCAGCTGCTGTGTTTGGCCAGGGCTCTCCTCACAGACGCCAAGGTAAATAAGAGGACGAGTCACTGGAGAGGACTCGGAAGGAGGTAGACTGTGTCAGGGTAGGAGAGGGCTTGGCAAGAGGTTTCAGGAAAACGCTGGTGGTAGGGAGTCATAGGTAGGCCGGGCTGTAGCTTGCTTTGCCATTCCTTCTCCTCCCGCTCCATGGGTTCCAGATCCTGTGTATTGATGAGGCCACAGCAAGCGTGGACCCGAAGACAGACCAGCTGCTCCAGCAGACGATCCACAGACGCTTTGCCAATAAGACAGTGCTGACCATAGCGCACAGGTGTGCATGTGCCAGAGTACGGGTCACCAAGGACCCTTTTGGGGAGCCCAGGGGCCAGGGCCCAGAGCTCTCAGCTCCTGTATCCCCAGGCACAGCCCTGGGCCCCTTATCACATATTGTATATGATTGTATGGGTTCCTCCCCCAACACGGAGCCCACAGACTGAAACCTATGAGGATAGAGCTGTGCAGTCTGGGGGAGTAGGGAGGGACAGCAACTTTGTGACACTGCCTCTGTACCCCCACACTGACCACCTTCTACCACACAGGCTCAACACAATCCTGAACTCAGATCGGGTCCTGGTGCTACAAGCAGGACGGGTCATGGAGCTGGACTCCCCCACTGCCCTGTGCAGCCAGCCCCACTCACTGTTCCAGAAGCTTCTGCAGAGCAGCCAGCAGGGAGCCCACTCTGCTGGAGGGTCCTGAGCCAGGCTTCCTACTGAGATCCCCTCCATCTGCCCCAGGCCCTGTTGGCATCAACATGGGGCTGCGTGTTTACATCCTCTCCCCTGTGGCTCTACCTCTCCTAACCCTCTGGGGAAAGGACACGTTGGATTCCTTGGTAGGCAGAGGGCCAAGGCTTCCCCAGGCCAGGCCCTGCCCTGGTCCTCTTCACCCAGGACTCTGGGCCCTTTTATTTTTGACCTAAGATCCCACTTACATTTTCATAGTTTTATTTGATAAAATTCCTATCTTACATTCTGTGGATTAAAAAAATAATATTTCTGGTGTGAGGCTGAAGTCGCCTCGGTGCGTCTCTCGAGCGGAGGGGTGGTGAGCAAGGACTACTCCAGTCTGAGGTGTGGAGGAGGTGAGGAAGGGGGCCAGAAAGACCCCAGCCCCGTCACAGTGCCGTGGTCTTTCCAGGCTCGGGGGCCAGGTCAGGTGGCAGGGGGAATCCTGCTGGAATCATGCTCACCTGGCACTCCTGGTCCTGCCGGGCTGGCGCATAGTGTGGGACTGGGTAGCAACAGGGTTCAAGGGGGCAGATGCCCCGGCGCCAGGCCCTCAGGGTCAACAACACAGTAGCCAGGACTAGGGCTGCCGTGAGGGCCCCAAACACCACCAAGGCTACCAGGCTAGACTCACCCAGCCCAGCCTCTTGCCTCCGTACCACCTCCTTCACTGAGATCCGCAGCAGGCCTGCCCCCGCGCTGTGCAGGGCCGGCCCCGTAGCAGGCACCACCATAGCCAAGGTGGGCCCTCGGGGGGTGTCCGTCATGGTGACAGGACCTGGGGCAGGTAAGACAAGCTCGCAAGTCTTGCCACCGTAGCCGCTGGGGCAGAGGCAGTCGAAGTCATGGATGCGGTCCCGACAGCGAGCCCCTCTCTGGCATGGCTGGCTGGCACAGTCATCCAGGTTGATGGTGCAGAAGCGTCCAGCAAAGCCCTCGGGGCAGAGGCAGGAGAAGCGGTTTATGCCGTCCAGGCAGGTGGCGCCATTGGCACAAGGCCGCATCAGACAGTCGTCCACGTTCACCTCACAGCGGGCACCCACAAAGCCTGCCAAGCAGCGGCATGTGAAGTTGAGGGCAAAGCCCTGGTTGTCCTGGCACTGCCCGCCATTCTGGCATGGGGAGCTGTGGTGGAGGTGAGAGGACATTGGTACTGACATGTTGACACAGCACAGAGGCCCGCTCAAAGTCAGGGCTCAGACCTGTGTGCTCTTATCCTTATGAGTATTAAAGCCTAAAGCAGAAACGCTTCGCCACCCACACCACAGCCTCAGGCAGGCTTCTGTGGGAGCAGGAGGAGGTCCTCCACTCCTGAACCTCCCCATACAAAGCCTCCCCAAACATGCTATCTGTGACATCTCCGGCTCCTATAGATGGTGGTTGAAGAAATGAGTCAAAAGGCATAAGCTGAGAAGCCTTGAACCAGGCGCACTGGCACACTGGATTTTATCCTGAGGTGCCCTCGTGTGGAGCCGACCCTCAGCCCTCCAGCCTTCTCTACCTTACCCTCCTTCTTCCCTCATTCTGTCACCACATTCTGGTCTGACCTCTGCATGGGTCACGCACTCACCCCGCCTGCTCACAGGGTCCGGCCTTGCGTTCGCAGTCATGCCCATGGAAGCCTGGCAGGCACACACAGTGGTACTCGCCGCCCCCGTCATACACACACTGGCCCCCATTCTGGCAGGGGGACTGTGAGGTACAGATGTGCTCATCTAGAAAAAAGACAAGGCTTTGGGATTGTGCCTCAGACCTGGCCCTCAGATCTTCCCCATGTCCCGTGTGGCCTAGCTTTCCAGGCCCAAGGTTCAGAGAGTGTTGGGTATCTACCACCCCTGCCCATACCAAGCTAGTATGGTGTAGTGGGGAAAGCTCACTGAAGCTGGAGGCAGGAGGTGCCTAGCCCTGGCTCAAGAAGTCTATCTCAAACTGTCTTTGGACAAGGTGCAGCATTTCTGTGGGACTCACTTTTCTCATCTGTAAAATGGGCACAACTTTTAGCAGCTGTAGCTCCAGCTTCATGAGAGTATATTGAAGTTCAATTCAGACAACCAGTTATAAGATTTAAAAATAAAAGGAGCTGGGCGCTGGTGGCTCATGCCTGTAATCCTAGCTACTCAGGAGGCTGAGATCTGAGAGTCATGGGTCAAAGCCAGCCCAGGCAGGAAAGTCCATGAGACTCGTATCTCTAATAAACCACCGAAAACTGGAAGTGGAGCTGTGGCTCAAGTGGTAGAGCACTAGCCTTGAGCTGAAGAGCTCTGGGACAGCACCCAGGCCCAGAGTTCAACGACAAAAAGAAAAAAAAAAAAAGGAAGCAAATATATTTGAGGATCAGAGAAGGACACAGTATGCCTTCAGAATAAATACAGACAGATATTCTGAGACACGCAAGCTCCCCTCCCTGCCCCCTACCTTTGTCACAGAACTTGCCTGCCCAGCCACTCTGACAGATGCACTGCCAAGGCTGGTGACAGGTACCATGCTGGCAGCCCGGCATCCTCACACAGCGCTCACAGTGCAGCCCCTCCCAGCCTGGGTCACACCTGACAGAGAGATACAAGCACAGAGTCAGTGCTCTGGGAGGGGGTGAGAGGGGAAGCGAGGAAATAGAAATAGGCAGAGCCAGAGCTTCTAGAAAAGCTGGAGGACATAAGACAGCTTCTAAGGGAAAGCTGGCAGATACAGGATGGAATGAAAAACCAGACATCAGAGACCAGCATTCAAGGTCTGGGTCTGTTTTGGATGTGACTTTTCTGAGCCTTGATTTTCTCCACCTCAAAGGGTTTTGCTGAAGAAATAATGTCTATAAATACTTCCAGTAACAGGTGGCTCATGCCTGCTACTCAGGAGGATAATATAGGAGGGTCACAGTCCAAAACCAGCTTGGGTAGGAAAGTCTGTGAGACTCTCCAATGAACCACCAAAGAGCTGTAAGTGGAGCTGTGGTTCAAGTGGTAGAATTCGAGCCTTAAGCAGAAAAAGCTAAGGGACAGACAGTGCCTAAGCCATGAGTTCAAGCCCCAGTACACACACACTCTCTCTCTCTCTCTCTCTCTCACACACACACACACCCCACACCACATGCCTCCAGTACCAATCCTAGTATGTCTGACATTCCAAATACATTTCCAAAAGGATAACCTTGAGAAGACATCAGGACTGTTTTCCCACGTTTTTTTGTTTTGTTTTGTTTTTTTAAGCCATACTGGGGTTTGAGGTCAGAGTCTGCTGCTTGCTAGCAGGCACTTCTATAATTGACCCACGCCTCTAGCCCTTGAACTGATTTTTTTTCCAGTTTTGGGGCCTGAACTCTAGGCCTGGGTGCTGCTCTTCAGCTCAAGGCTAGCGCTCTACCACTTGAGCCACAGTACCACTCTAGCCTTTTCTGTTTATGTGGTGTTGAGGAATCAAACCCAGGGCCCCGTGCATGCAAGAATTTCTTTCTGCACTCTGCAATTGAGCCACCTTCCCAGCCCCTGAACTGGTTTTCTTTAAAAGCTCTCCAATGTTGAGTCTCCAACTCCTGGGCTGCGGAGCAACCTTCCCTGTCTGCTTGCTCCTTATGTCGGTGAGCTCTTTCTTCCAGACACAGACTATGCCCCCACCTCCACCCCACTGGCTCAAATTCATCAACCTAGGGCCTCTCTCCCTAAAGCCTTAATCTTCCCCTTGCCCCTTTCTTTCTGGCTCCCCATCTCTCAACCTTCAGGTCTCTCCAGGTGTCATGAGGAGCCCTAGTCCAGACTGAAGGAGTAAAAAGACTGGGAGGTATAAGCCAGAAGAAAGAGGCGAGGTGAAGCCAAAGGAAGTTGGGGGAGGAGGGCACAGCGTGCTCCCAGACACTCAGACCCGGGGTGTGCGCGGGTGGAGGTCTGGGAAATCGAGGCACGTGCTCAGGACAGCTACCTGCAGGAGCCGTCAGGGGCGCAGCAGCCGTGGCCCAGGTCGCAGTGCAAGCTGCAGTCATCAGCTGCAAGAGATGGATGTGGTAAGAGTGAGTCTGGGCGGGGGGGGGGGGGTTCCGGAGGGGGGGTTTCCTGTGAGCGGGTGGGCTCTGTCCCATTCCCAAGGGACCGTCTGCCCCGCCCCCCCCAGCCCCGCGGGTCGGAGCGCCTGCAGTGCCGTCTCTTGGCCGGCAGAGGTCAACGTGCAGGCGAGGACCAGGAGGGCTGGCAGGGCCCGGCCGGAGCCGGGGGCGCGCTCACCTCTGGCCGGCTGACCGGCTGCCCCGAGGATGCACAGCAGGCACACGACGTGCAGGCAGCGGCAGCCGCTGGGCATGGTCAGTTCCGGCCCCTGGGCGGGGGAGGGGGAGAACGGACGGACGGACAGCCGGATGTTGGAGACACCTGTGGGACAGCACGGGCTGGGGGGCGGCTGGACGCTTGGATAGCGGCGGGGCTGTGGGTTCCTTCCGAGGGACGACAGCCGAGCGGAGAGGAGGGACGCCGGGGCCGAAAGGGGCGGGGACGGGCCGAGCAGGCGCAGCGCTGGGAAGGGGGACCCCCGGGAGCCCGATCGACTGGGGAGCAGGCCAAGGATGGGCAGTGCCGCGCATGGCCACGCAGGGGAATGGCGAGCGCCGGGATCGCGGCGGGACGGAGGGGTCCGCGGGGATGGAGCCGGCGCGGAGGGGCGGCTTCAGCCCGGAGGGGCGCGGGGCCGGGGGAGGGGGAGGACGGTTCCTGGCTCCCGGTTCCCCGCAGCGCAGCGAACGGACCCCAGGCTCCCTTCCCGCCTGGACCTGGGGTCCCGGACCCCCCCCCTGAGCTCCCCCAGCGCCGCTCCCCTGCCCTGCTCCTCACCTCCGGCTGGAAGGCGATGCGCCCCGGGCCGCAGAGCCAGGCAGATCCGACGGCCTCCGCCGCGGGGGAAGGGATGGGCACCGAGCGGGGGTGCGGGGCGGCCCCTAGCTGGCCC